AGTAAGGGTGAACTGAGTCCCACCATGCAAGAACTTTAGATGGTAAGATCTGATCAATAGTTGGGTAAATGGATGCTTAGGAGGCAGGATGATAGGGTATTTTTGATCGAAATCGAGGTTAGAATACTTTAATCGCCCATTTATTCTTAGCAACCCATTTGAGTCTATGATGGGATTAAGGCGAAAAAGTTTGCTGGTTTTAGGAACAGTATTACCAGCGCGCAAAAGCTGTAAGTCCCTAAGAAATATGTCCCTTTGGACAATAGCGCACAATCGCAGCTCAGCCGTTTGCCATTCGTCAATAGTCAAGTCTTTTGAACATTCCAAATCAGCATTTGATCTTTTTGCTTTGAGATTCTTATAAAACCTGAGCAGATAAGCCGTTGTTCTGATTAACTTACTGTAGCTAGAATAAAGATCGAAAATAAAAGCTTGATTTTGCTGAATTTCATTATATGTTAGTGAAATGTTTTCCTTTCGAGCCTCTGGGATAGAGTCTATACCGGTGATAATAGTTTTAGGCCAGTTTCCAGAGGATTGACAAAGATACGAAGGGCCATGCCACCAAAGTGTGGAATTTTGTAATAATTGAGGGTTAGAACCGCGACTCAAAATGTCGGCGGGGTTCTGATCAGTTGGTACATGTCTCCATTGAGTGCTTTCAGTTAAATGCTGAATTTCAGCTACACGATTGCTAACAAAAACTTTCCAATTACTCGGTTCTTTATCTAACCAGGCCAGAACAATAGAAGAGTCTGTCCAATAGGTTGTTTGCTCGATTGAAATCCTTAGACTGGATTTGACTCGATGCATGAGTTGAGCTAATAGATACGCGCCAGACAGCTCTAACTTGGGTATAGTTAAGTTGGAATTTAGAGGTGCAAGCCGACTCTTAGCACAAATAAGATTGGAACAAATTTGACCTTTACCATCTAGATGAGTCAGATAGATTGAGGCGCCATAGGTCGTTTGAGAGCTATCACAAAATCCGTGTAACTGAATATTCTTTGACATAAAAGAAAATAAGACACATCGGGGAATTCTAATAGAATTTATCGATGCTATTTGTTCAACGAAGTCCAACCAGCAGGCTGAAATATGCTCAGGCAAATCATCGTCCCAATCCACCTTGATTTGCCAGATTGCTTGTAGGATTAATTTCGCTCTCACAATAATAGGGTTTATCAATCCGAGAGGATCAAATAGCTGTGCCACGCCCGCTAACACGGTTCTCTTAGTGACCCTGGCCTGTCCAAAACAAGTAGGAAAAGCGTAACTAAGAATATCATCCTCCGGATTCCAAAATATACCTAAGGTCTTGATCTCCTTTTCACTTTTGATTTGAAATGGCGTTTCGCTACCTATATCGGCCAAAACCTTAACGTCATTGGACATCCACTTTCGCAGATTTAATCCCGATTTTTGCAAAACATGAGATATTTCATTTTTCAATTGCTGAGCCAATTGATGATTGTCACAACCAGTGATTAAATCGTCCATATAGAAGTCATTGATGATGATATCAGAAATATAGGAATTTTCAGATCGACATCCTAACCCAATCTCGTTCAAAATTCTGGTCGCCAAGAATGAGCTGGGAGTAAGACCATAAACAACGGTATTCAATTCGAAATGCTTTATGCTTTGTGAGGGATGTTCCCGCCATAAAATACGTTGAAAAGATCGATCATCTTTATGTACCAAGATCATACGGTACATCTTCTCAACATCTGCTGTCAAAACGACAGGATAAGTTCGCATGCGCAGCACTATATCGAATAAATCATTTTGAACCTTGGGACCGGTTTTTAAAACTTGGTTTAAAGTAAGTCCTGAGCTGCTTGAACTACTGCCATTAAATACCACTCTGAGCTTAGTAGTTTCACTAGATTCTTTGAATATTGGATGATGAGGAAGATAATTACAAATTTTATTAGGAAGGTCTTTCTGAGGATCAATTTGAGACATATGTCCCAGATCTTCATACTCTTTTAAGAAGTCACAATATTGTTTTCGAAGCTGAGGATTTTTTGAAAGTCGTTTTTCTGTTGAAAGAAGACAATTTCGTGCAATTTGGTAGGTATCACCTAAATTTTGAAAATTATCTTTAAACGGTAATCTTACTATGTATCGTCCGGCATGATCTCGTGTGACATTTTTTCTAAAATGAATTTCACACTCAAGCTCCTCAGCGGTTAACTTACTTTGATCAGATTGTACATTCTCTATGGCCCAAAATTTCTGAACAGAATCATGCAAGCTATTAATGGAAAGATGACATAAAGAACTTACCTGAGTAGAAGAAATTTGATTTGAATGTGCTGAATGCAAAGGACCAGCTAAAAACCATCCTAGCTTTGAGTTTTGAATGACAGGTTGATTGGCCCCTAACTTAATTTGTTGAGGTTCCAGCAAATCATAAAATAAATTGGTACCTATTAAAATGTCGATATTTTGGCATTCAAAAAAATGAGGATCAGCTAATTGTATATTTGGCGGAATTTTTAAAGAATTGGGATTAAATGAAAGCTGAGGCAATTTTGCAGTGATTTTATCCAGGACCAAGAAATGTATGCTGGTCGTGTATGAATGATTAATTGAACGCAGTTTTGTAGTAAACGACTTATCAATTCTGATTGGTGCCTGGTTAATGCCATTAACACTCATATCTATGTGTTTCCCTTTGATTTTCAATTTATTATAGAATTCTGTGGTACAAAGATTGTTCATACTACCCGAATCTAACATGGCTCTGCATTTCACCAAGTTTCTATCTTGATCCAGGATCTCCACAACTGCTGTTGCCAAAAGTGGCTGGCATAGAGCCTGATTGCCATGTATTTCGCAAAATGCATTTTGACTGTTTTGGGGTATGATGTCACCCACCTGTTCGGATTCTTCTTCTATGTTATTGTATTGTGTTTCTTCAGTTTCTTGTTGTGTAGCAATATATGTGTTTCTAGATTTAGGTGAATTTTGAGGGTTGTAATTTATGTTTTCATGCAAAATACTATTGTGTTTTTTTGAACACATTCTACAGCCCCTACTGGGACAAGAATCAAGGGAATGACCTGCTGCACGAAGGCAGTTTACACAGATACCAAGTTTCTTAAGCTCAATGTAGCGATTTTGTATTGACAATGCTAGTAAGCGAAAGCATTTGTATGTTGAATGGTTATTCAACCTACAAAAGCTGCATGAGAACTCAATATCCTCCTGTCCTGCTGGTTCCTCCATGGCAACATGGCTATACCTTTTTGGAGATAACTGCTCGGGTTTTCTTGTGGAAAAACCTTTTGATTTTGAAGGAGATTCTGTGCGTTTAGAATTTAATTTAGTTTGAATTGTCTCTAGAACCTGTATTTTGTTTTTCAGGAAATCTACAAAACTTAAATAAGTGGCGTTGTCCTGTTTGTTGAATACTTCCCATTCTCGACGGGTTGTATTGTCCAACTTGCTTGTGAGAAGATATAACAAAATTGTGTCCCAGTGCTGAACCGGCTCATTTAAATTTTGCAAAGCCCTGTAATTTTGTACTATGTGATCAAGAAATTTTCTTAGAAAAATGCACGACTCGCCTTGTAAGGCAGGATAGTCGAAAAGATTCTGTAAATGTTTGTGTTTAAGCAATTTTTGATTCTCATACCGCTCTTTAAGTAAATCTATAGCGATATCATAATTATCCTCAGTGATATTTAGAGGCTGCAGAATTTCTGCAGCTTCCCCTTTGATGCACAACTTTAACTGATAAAATTTCTGGATTTTTGGGACTGAGGGGTCATCATGAACGATTGATTTAAAAATTTGGAAAAAGGTTTCCCATTGTTCGTGATTACCAAAAAATGATGGTGGGGTAATTTTGAAAACATTATGATTGGGTGGCTGTTGTATGATTGGTTGTATAATTGGAGGTGGAATTGCTGGTGGAGCTGCTTGAAGACTTTGCAGGGTTTTCCTTTTTTCAAACTCATGATTTTCAATAATATCAAGTGCTTTACCACTAAGTGAATAATACATCTCTTCATATGTGTCCCCCTCGTCATACTGCTCTGGGTTCAAACTGACTAGTTGAGCTTGAGTTGACTCAAACTGGCTAAATGCTGATTTTAATTTCTCTAGCCGTAATTTTAGTTCGGAAAGTGACAGATTTTCCCTTGTGGTTTTACTTAAATATGAACGGAATTTATTTAATGTGGATTTGAAACCACCCCGCTTCTCCACCAACTGCAGAATAAGGGTTTCCCCTTCTGTGTTGTCTTCGTCAGCAAACATTTTTGCGTGTTATGTGCTTTTTATGAAAATTTTGCCCAATTTGTGAAGTTTCTACATCGACCCACTCAAATAGCTTATACCACCTGAAAACGAAACGTCGAATTTTAAATTTAATAGCACCATCTTCTAAAGGGAAAAAAGTGACAATGATGAAGTGACATTTATTTTAAAATTGCTTTTCAAATAAGCCCAGTAAAAATAACAACGATTTTCCAAAATTTCGGTGTTTTTCGAATATCTGCGGAAGTATTCGGAATCTTTCTTATTTCAAAACGGCATTCTATTGGTCATAAAATTGCGCAACTTTGCCATAATTTAACCGACCCCGTATCTCTTACGGTTACCGAGATCCCAATGATGAGGCTCGAATTTGGGCCACCCTGTACATACAGTTTTTGAATAATGGTCATCTGATTATATCGGGTCTTCAAAAAAAAAAAAAACAATCAAAGATTGCTATGGTTTTTTGAACGTACGTCTTAGCAATATTTTTCTTTAATTTTGACATGTCAGTCAATGAAATTTAATGTCAAAATGTCATGTCAAAAATCCTGACCAATAAACAAACAATAATGCGACGTACGTTTTCGTAACCAAAGCAATCTTTGATTGGTTTTTTTTTTTTTGAAGACCCGATATAATTTTGTATTGGGGCGAAGCTTGAAGCCTTGAAAACCATAAACGGATCATAAAATCGATTTCAATAAAAACTGTTTCTTTTTGTTAAGGCTTGTAAATACACCTTAAGAAAAGTTGGCCCATACTTGGAAAGCCCCGAAGTCAATACGATGATTCAAGAACATTTAATCGACGAGGCCAATTTACACTTTGCCGACTTTGTCAAAGATTTTATTAAAATAATGGTAAGTTCTTCATTTAAAACCAATCAAATATAGACAAAACAAACAAATTTATTTCAGGCCAAAGACCGTCAAGATCTCTTCGCTAGATTCGTAATGACTAGTGTTTCTTACCTGAAAAGCCCATGGGTGTCCATTCGGAGTAATGGAGCTTTGGTTACGGGGCTGCTGTACTCGGAACTGGCTCCAGAAAATAAGGATAAAGTGTCTCTGGACGCAGTTTGTGATAAGTTGATAAGGCTGATGCAGGACGAAAACGATGACGTTAGGATCAAGGCTAGTCAGGCCATGTCTTATTTGTTTATTTGAATGTGATTATTATTAAGAGAGAGAAATCTATTATGTTTACTAGGATAATTTTTAGCTTTTTGTCGAATTTTATTAGTTATTTACCCTTTTTATATTGTTTATTATTATAATTTTTCTATATCTATGTATGTTGAACCCTATTTTAAAAATAAATTTTCAAATTTGTTGGTTTCTTTGATAGGTAACTTAACTTCTTTAGATAGATGTATAACAGAAGTCTGTTCCAATCCACCAAAAAACTGTTTCGGAACCACGCTGTATAGAAATTAGATTCTACACACAAATTTTATGTTCTGCGCAGAATCCTGACGGTGAAATGTATGGTTCTGTGCTAGGTTGGAACAAAGCTGTTATGTTTTTGTACACAAGAGGCCACGAACCGAAAATATTATTTGCGTTCAAGGAGAAATGTCCAGTACTTCATGTTCAGTTTCTCAGCATATAAAAAATCATTTTTATGAGAGATTCTCTAACTCATAATTCAATCTTCTAAGTGACTAACCAACCAAAAACATATAGAAAAACTAGAAGATTTGTTTTAAAAAGAAACTCTATTATTTATTTATATCTTGTCCCTGATCAAATGTAGTTACCAAAGCTTGAGTCGTAGACAACAAAGGATGACTAATGGGAAGCTTTTTTCTAGAAATTGACACTCCCGTTGACATTCTGGGTTTGTAGCCGGCATAACTGGCACATGGAATATCATGAGCCAGCCTCAAACTGTTATCTTTAATCGCTTTAGTGATTTGCAGTTTGGTTTCTTGAGGCACTATGTTTTCCAAAGGGTCTACACAGGCACCACACCTTTAATAATTGAATTAGGCTTAAATTAAACTGAAACAAAATTAGCTTACACTACTGGTGGTTCTTTATGCAACCAAAACTCCTTTGTAGGCTCAGAAGTGCCTCTTCTCTGCTCATCGTCCCACTGTTTACTTGGCCTAATAAATCTCTCTTCCAAAGGAGGATACAATTCAGTCTTAAAAGTCACCGTATCCTTTTCTTCAACTTCAAAAATATTTGGTTGTTTGGGCTTGAAATTAGAAGCTCCCTCGATTTCAGCTCTGTGCCATTCAGTTGTGTACATGTAATTGCATAATAATCGCCTCATTTCTGGATCTGGAGTATCATCAATACTAACGGCAGGAGTTATATAGATCCTAGGGCGGGTTTTTCGGGCCAAAACTTGATCGTCTTTAGGCAAAGGGGCCAGTTTCACGAAACTTTGATTCGGATTGGTTTGCAATATTGGTTTGGGTTGCAATAGCAAGTCAAAAGAGACAGGTTTCCTGAATTTATAGAAAGTTTCGGGGTCTTCCGGTTGGTATTTTGCTGGCGGGGGTGAGACTTTTTCGCTTCGCGCCCTTTGGGGTTTCGGGATTTCATGTTTCGTGTCGCAATAGTTTTTGTAGTCGGTTTTGTAAGTGGTTTCTTGTTTGAACAAGTCAGTTTTTATTTTGTCGTTGTAACTGTAGCAATTCATTTTGACAATAGTTGTAGGTAAAGGTAAAACAGAAAAGGCCAGGTGAATAATTTATATAATATACAATGTAAAATAAAATGATTTCAGCCTACGCCTATGGTCACTAAGCCCCGCCTAGTTTATTGGCTCAACGACAAGGGGCGGAGCTTGATACCAGAGACGTAGTAAGGAAGAAGACTAATTATGAATTATTTTAAGCAAATTTTAGCAGTGTTACCAATATTACAAATAACTAACGATTAGTTTCCTAATATTATTGACAAGTTGCGCTACAAATCTCACGACTTTTTTCTGCAGTTGGCAACGCTTTTTGTCAATTAGTGCAATCTTGCCAATCTTGAAAGAATGAGTTTCATGCAATATTCTCAACATCTACTCATGAATTATTTAACGTTAGCAATAATGAAAATTCGAATGTCACTATCCATTTTCTTTAAATAAGCAAACTTCAACAGTGGTACCACCAGATTAGGGTGAGTTTAAGTTTTGCTTGTCATTTTAATAATTTTCATTTTTACTTTGAAAAAAATTTTCTGTATTTTTACAGTGTTGCCAACGTAAAACAATTTTTATTAAATTTAAAAAATTATCAGGAAAAAAATTCTTCAGTTTCACCAATAACCACACCACTGGTGCTGTCGTTCAGGCTCTAACCAATAAAATCATGCCTCTGAATAATTACGCCTCTCCACATCCTTCATTTCGCAATGCTGCCGGATTTTATTCTATTTCAAAATGCTACACATATTGCAAAAAAAAAAATATGTCACCAACTTGTTTATTATTGTTTCTGTCAAGTTTGGCAAAGCAGCAAATTCTATTGCAGTTCGCCGTTTGACTAGCCAGACAATACAACTTCTAAAATCAAAAAGTTTTACATGTTGGCAACACTGAAAATGCAAATTTTCATTGAAAAAATAATTCAGCTTTGCTAACTTTTAAAAAAAAATCTAGTTCTTTGAAACTGTCAAAACTGTGATCAAAATTGACAGTATTGACACCATTCGAAGTTTTACAATGTTGCCGATGCAAAACAAATATGAGTGACTTTCAGTTTCTGCAGTGCTATAAATTGGCACAATTCTTTTAAATATATTTAATTTAAAATAGACATATTTTGCCTACGTCTATGGTCACCAAACCCCGCCCAGTTTATTTGCTCAATGACAAGGGGCGGACCTTGGTACCATAGACGTAGTATAGAATAGGAGAAATAATTATTACATAAATCATTTTAGCACCGTTGCCCAATGTTAAACATAACTAATTTCACTTTGATTTTCTTCAATTGAGCAAATTTTATCAGTGTTGCCAAATTAAAGTGAGTTTGGTTTTTGTAGCCATTTTTCAGTAAATTGATTTTTATTATTGTAATTTTATTTTCAAGTTGGCAACACTGCAAATTCAATTTTCTTGTATTTTTGCAATGTTGTCAAACGTACAACACATTTCAGTTTCTATGGTACTCTAAAACTTCTAAAATCAAACAGTTTTATGTTGGCAAGACTGAAAATACAATCCGCAATATTTAAACGGAAATTGGTTTGACCAAGTTAAATCGAAAAATGTCAACTATTTTGACATATCTGTCAAAACCCTGCCAAACGGTAGCACTCAAATTTTTCAGTTTTCAATATTTCATGAAATGTCTTTTGACATTTTCAAATTTTGAGTAAAAAAGTGAAAAAAAAACATACAGAACTGTCAAAACCTGTCATTTATTTGAGTAGGAAAAAAGATTCATATATGGTTCTTTTTTGTTATAATGTAGTTTATTGGTGATGTGATAAAACATTAAACAAAGCTCATAGACATCAAATTTTGACAGCTGTCAACATCGGAAACCTGTGTATAAAATGTTTGCATTCATTACCATAAATAAGCATAACTTAAAAAATTGTAACAGAGCGTTTTTTGCGATTCAAGCTGATGTCAGATTCTGCCAGCTGTCAAAATTTGATCTCTATGAGCTTTTTTTAATGTCTTATCACCAATAAACTATCTTAAAACGAAAAAGAGGCAAATTGAAATCTTTTTTTGTACTAAAATGACAGGTTTTGACAGTTTTATAATTTTTTTTTCAATTTTTGAACTTACATACATGAATTTACATAAGTTAAAACTGTCAAATGACACATCATGAAATATTGAAAACTGAAAAAAAGCAGTGTTGCCGTTTGGCAGGGTTTTGACAGATGTCAAAATGGTTGTCATTTTTTGATTTACCTTGGTCGACTTAGTAGGAATCGATACTTGCTCCATCAAAATCTATCATAGTTACCGTGCTTTTGAATATTAGATCCCAATATTTGACAGCTGATACCGCTACACCTGTCATATATACAAAGTTGTGTCCATGGTAAAAAACGTTGCTTACAACATTTCATAAATCAAATCCAAACTTTTAAATATCCCAATCCAAAATTTTAAATATATCAAATTTAGAAATGTTTTGCCGACGCCTATGGTCACTAAGCCCCGCCCAGTTTATTGGCTCAACGACAAGAGGCGGAGCTTGATATCATAGACGTTGTATGAAATTGGAGAAATAATCATCATCAGTATCATCATTTTTAGCAAATTTTAACAGCGTTGCCAATGTAAAACATAATTAACATTAATCAAATTCACTTCGATTTTCTTCAATTGAACAAATTTTAACAGTGATGCCAAATTAGATTAGAGTGAATTTAGGTTTTGTAGACGTTTTTTTATTAAATTGATTCTTATTATTGCAATTTATTTTCAAGTTGGCAACACTGCAAATTCAAATTTGCTGTACTTTTGCAATGTTGCGAAACGTAAAACAATTTCTTATAATAAATTATTTTAGTTTCTGTAATACTCTACAACTTCTAAAATCAGTTCTATGTTGGCAATACTGAAAATACAAAGGACCCTAAAATATTTAAACGGAAATTGGTTCGGCCAAGGTAAATCGATAAATGTCAATCATTTTGACATCTCTGTTTTGACAGACAATAGCACTCATATTATTCAGTATTCAATATTTCATAAGGTGTCATTTGAAATCTTTAACTCAAGTAAATTCTGAGTATAAAAATTGAAAAAAAAAAACATACAGCACTGTCAAAACCTGTCATGTATTTTAGTAGGAAAAAAGATTCATATCTGGTTCTTTTTTGTTATAAAGTAGTTTATTGGTGATAAAACATTAGTGCAAAGCTCATAGACCTCAAATTTTGACAGCTGTCAAAATCTGAAACCTCCGTGTAAAGTGTTTCCATGTTTTTTCATAAATAATTATAACTTAAATTGAAACAAAACTAGATTAAAGTATTTTTTCAATGGCAGATTTTGACAGTTCTGTATTTTTTTTTCAGAATTTACATAAGCTAAAACTGTGAAATGACACATCATCAAATATTGAAAACTGAAAAATATGAATGCTGCCGTTTGGCAGGGTTTTGACAAATGTCAAAATTTAGCTTGGTCGACTTGGTAAAAATCGATACTTACTTCATCCAAATTTACCATAATTACCCTGCTTTTGAATATTAATTCCAATATTTGACAGTTGATACTGCCTCACCTGTCATATATATTTATAAGGTTGCGTCTATGGTGAAAAATGTTGCCAACGGCATCCCCAATAACATAATATTTAAATCAAATCCAAACTTTTAAATATCAAAATCCAAAATTTTAAATATATCAAATTTAGAAATGTTTTGCCTACGCTTATGATCACTAAGCCCCGCCCAATTTATTGGTTCAACGACAAGAGGCGGAGCTTAATATCATAGACGTAGTATGAAATTAGGGAAATAATAATCATCATCATGAATAGTTTTAACCAAACTTTAGCAGTTTTGTCAATGTTATACATAACTAATATTAGTAAATTTCACTTCGAATGAAGTTTAGGTTTTGCAGCCATTTTTCATTAAGTTAATTTTCAAGTTGGCAACACTACAAATTCGAATTTTCTGTACCTTTGCAATATTGCTAAACGTAAAACAATTCCTAATTCATTTCAGTTTCTATGATGTTTTACAATTTCTCAAATTAAAGAATTTTATGTTGGCAACACTGAAAATACAAATTTTCATTGAGCAAATTGCCAGTGTTGCTAACATAAAAAAAAAACACCATTTTGAAACTACCGTCAAATTTCATTGAATTTGCTTTGATGGTAACTTTTCTTTTAAATATATCAAATTTAGAAATGTTTTGTCTACGTCTATGGTTACTAAGCCCCGCCCAGTTTATTGGCTTAACGTCAAGGGGCGGAGCTTGATACTATAAACGTAGTATGGAATTGTATATATAATCAATAGGCAAATTTTAGTAGTGTTGCCAATATTAAACATAATTAAAACTTCAATTTTTTTCAACTGAGCAAATTTTGACAGTGATGTCAAATTAGACTGAGTTCAAGGTTTGCTGTGGTTCTAATAATTTTTCATTGAGTGGATTTTCATAATTGCGATTTAATTTCACGTTGGCAACACTGCAAATTCAATTTTTCCATAATTTTGCAATGTTGTCAAATGTAAGACAATTTCTAATAAATTTCAGTATCTATGATGCTCTACAATTTCTAAAATCAAAGAGTTTTATGTTGGCAACACTGAAAATACAAATTTTCATTGAGCAAATTGCCAGTGTTGTTAACATTAAAAAACATTACCATTTTGAAACTATCGTCAAAATTCATTGAATTTGCTTTGATGGTAACTTTTCTTTTAAATATATCAAATTTAGAAATGTTTTGTCTACGTCTATGGTCACTAAGCCCCGCCCAGTTTATTGGCTTAACAACAAGGGGCGGAGCTTGATACCATAGACGTAGTATCGAATTGTAAATATAATCATCAAACAAATTTTAGCAGTGTTGCCAATATTAAACATGATTAATGCTTCAATTTTTTTCAACTGAGCAAATTTTGACAGTGATGTCAAATTAGACTGAGTTCAAGGTTTGCTGTGGTTCTAATAATTTTTCATTGAGTGGATTTTTATAATTGCGATTTAATTTCACGTTGGCAACACTGCAAATTCAATTTTTCCGTAATTTTGCAATGTTGTCAAATGTAAGACAATTTCTAATAAATTTCAGTGTCTATGATGCTCTATAATTTCTAAAATCAAAGAGTTTTATGTTGGCAACACTGAAAATACAAATTTTCATTGAACAATTTTCCAGTGTTGCCAACATGAAAAAAAAAACCATTTTGAAACTATCGTCAAATTTCATTGAATTTGCTTTGATGGTAACTTTTCTTTTAAATATATCAAATTTAGAAATGTTTTGTCTACGTCTATGGTTACTAAGCCCCGCCCAGTTTATTGGCTTAACGTCAAGGGGCGGAGCTTGATACTATAAACGTAGTATGGAATTGTATATATAATCATTAGGCAAATTATTTAGTAATGTTGTTAATATTAAACATAATTAAAACTTCAATTTTCTTCAACTGAGCAAATTTTGACAGTGATGTCAAATTAGACTGAGTTCAAGGTTTACTGTGATTCTAATAATTTTTCATTGAGTGGATTTTCATAATTGCGATTTAGCTTCACGTTGGCAACACTGCAAATTCAATTTTTCCGTAACTTTGCACTGTTGTCAAATGTAAGACAATTTCTAATAAATTTCAGTGTCTATGATGCTCTACAATTTCTAAAATCAAAGAGTTTTATGTTGGCAACACTGAAAATACAAATTTTCATTGAGCAAATTGCTAGTGTTGTTAACATTTAAAAAAATTACCATTTTGAAACTATTGTCAAATTTCATTGAATTTGCTTTGATGGTAACTTTTCTTTTAAATATATCAAATTTAGAAATGTTTTGTCTACGTCTATGGTCACTATGCCCCGCCCAGTTTATTGCCTTAATGACATGGGGCAGAGCTTGATACCATAGACGTAATATGGAATTGTAAATATAATCATCAAACAAATTTTAGCAGTGCTGCCAATATTAAACATGATTAATACTTCAATTTTTTTTAACTGAGCAAATTTTGACAGTGATGTCAAATTAGACTGAGTTCAAGGTTTGCTGTGGTTCTAATAATTTTTCATTGAGTGGATTTTCATAATTGCGATTTAATTTCACGTTGGCAACACTGCAAATTCAAATTTTCCGTAATTTTGCAATGTTAGAAACATTTTCTCTACGCCTTTAGTCACTTAGCCCCTCCCACTTGATTGCTAGAAAGATAAGGGGCGGAGCTTGGAAACCATAGACGTAGTATGGAACTGATTTCTTGACACAGCCTGAATAAATCAGTCATAACTCTGTTATTATTGGACCGATTTTGCTGTATAATACCTTGCTTAATAGAGAATGGGCATAACATTGAAAAACTGGTCTTAGTATAAGAATTTTTTAATGTTTAATAAAATTTAATCACAAATGAAAATTACTAGGTACCTACACATTATGTAACAAACAAATAAATATTTACTTAATACTTAAACTTGTACTTTCTAAAGGCATAACTATAGGAAGCTTTTTTTAATTTCAATAATAAATAACATTATTCGAGAAAGTGCCAGAAAATACAAGTTCCCAGATCAAAAGTCAAGTATTATGAAACTGAAACAACTCCAAAGGTGGTAACTCTGATAACAAACTTGTCTCCTCTAAATTATTTTCAGTTATCTTCCTAAACCTTTCATTTACAAATTGATCCACATTCAAAACTTCATCCGAGCTACTAGAATTATCCATAATATGATGCCCAGCAGGGCTCACAGGAAGCATAAGCTCATCCACAGGATTAATCAAAATATCAATTTTTGATTGAGGCGGTGGCTCATCAATGTAATTATTCAACGAGAAATCATTTTTCATTTCATAATCAGCAAACTCCACTTGTACAGGCTTTGATTTATCAACTTTTTCAGATTTTTTGGTCAAAAACTCACTATTTTCCATCAGTTGCAACACCGCAACGTCTTTGCACAAACGACTATCGTCAAAATAATAAGACCCTGGACTTAGTCCAACAGCATTGCCTAAAACCTTGTCGATTTCCACTTCATTATTGTTGCCAACTTTTTTAAATAAGGCATTTGTCAGAAATAGTAAATTATGTAAAAGATTTGATAATTCTTGACAAAATTTGCTGCCTCGTTCTGATGAAGGACATTTTTGGGTTACCGAAACTAAATGGTTCCAAACTTCAAAGTCGTTTTGTTGTTTTTGGGTCACTGGGCCGTGAGATGGGTATTTTTGTAGGTGTTTGAGCATCTTGTTTTTGCCCAAGTAGGCCTTCTGGCATTTGGGGCACCTGTATTGGGAGGCGATTTTGCGTTTTTTTTGTTGCAGCTCTACATGAACCGGAGCAGCAATAGGGACTTCATTTTCTTTTTTTATATCAATTTTTGGTACATTATTATCAATTTCCACTGACTCAAAATCGTTTTGTATATGCCTAGGTAACTTTACTTCACGTCCAGAGCGTGTTTTGGACATTATTTTGGGTTTTTGAGGTGGTTCCGGTGGTTCTGGAATAGGTTTGGCTTTGATTTCGGATTTTCTGGGACGTCCGCGTTTTTTGGCTGATTCAATGTTAGGTGCAAGAACCAATGGTTCTGGACAAACTATTTGGTAGATTATGTTTGGTAGCATCGGTTGGTTGGCTTGAATTAGCATGGTGGTTTCAGGATCCAGGACGTCTAAGACTTCGAATTGTTCTATTGTCGATGTGACTATGTCGTCGAATTGTTTGGAGGATGGTACCTGAAATTTAGGGTTTAGGTTTTACATTTCTATTTAATTTTGAAAAGTTGATAGGTAAAATGTAATAGACTCGATTTCGAATTTAGCTATACCAGCAGTTCCCCCACCTAGTGTTCCCAAAGCAGACAGTCCAACAAATAATGGAATAAAGGGTAAAATACATGGTTCTCATGGTGTGATTTTCTACTATAAAAATCTGAAATTTTAGTATAATGAATTCCTACTTATGTTCTTTTTATCCTAAAAGTTTCAAAACTTTCCCTTTACTAGTTTTTCAGAAAATAATTAAAATATGAGAGGATGTATTTTTTGAAAATTCAAACTATGAAAGTTGTTTTTCAGGAATTTCTCATATTATGATTATCTAAAATCTGAAATTTTAATATAATGAGCTCCTATTTATATTCTTTTTACCCTGAAAGTTTCAAAATTTTCCCTCCCCTAGTTTTTCAGAAAAATATTAAAATGTAAAAGGATGTAAGTATTTTTAAAAATTCAAACTATGAAAGTTGTTTTTCAGGAATTTTTCATGATGTGATTTTCCAATAAGAAAATCTGAAATTTTAGTATAATGAGCTCCTAATTGTCTTCTTTTTACCTTGAAAGTTTCAAAATTTTCTCTTTTTTAGTTTTTCAGAATAATTTTAAAATGTAGGAGGATGTATTTTTGAAAATTCAAACTATGAAAGTTGTTTTTCAGGAATTTCTCATATTATGATTATCTAAAATCTGAAATTTTAATATAATGAGCTCCTATTTATATTCTTTTTACCCTGAAAGTTTCAAAATTTTCCCTCCCCTAGTTTTTCAGAAAAATATTAAAATGTAAAAGGATGTAAGTATTTTTAAAAATTCAAACTATGAAAGTTGTTTTTCAGGAATTTTTCATGATGTGATTTTCCAATAAGAAAATCTGAAATTTTAGTATAATGAGCTCCTAATTGTCTTCTTTTTACCTTGAAAGTTTCAAAATTTTCTCTTTTTTAGTTTTTCAGAATAATTTTAAAATGTAGGAGGATGTATTTTTGAAAATTCAAACTATGAAAGTTGTTTTTCAGGAATTTCTCATATTATGATTATCTAAAATCTGAAATTTTAATATAATGAGCTCCTATTTATATTCTTTTTACCCTGAAAGTTTCAAAATTTTCCCTCCCCTAGTTTTTCAGAAAAATATTAAAATGTAAAAGGATGTAAGTATTTTTAAAAATTCAAACTATGAAAGTTGTTTTTCAGGAATTTTTCATGATGTGATTTTCCAATAAGAAAATCTGAAATTTTAGTATAATGAGCTCCTAATTGTCTTCTTTTTACCTTGAAAGTTTCAAAATTTTCTCTTTTTTAGTTTTTCAGAATAATTTTAAAATGTAAGAGGATGTATTTTTGAAAATTCAAACTATGAAAGTTGTTTTTCAGGAATATTTCATGATGTGATTTTCCAATGAGAAAATTTGAAATTTTAGTATAATGAGCTCCTAAATGTTTTCTCTTTACCCTGAAAGTTTCAAAATTTTCCCTTCCCTAGTTTTTCAGAAAATATTTAAAATGTAAGAGGATGTATTTTTTTGAAAATTCAAACTATGAAAGTTATTTTTCAGGAATTTCCCATGTTATGATTTTCCATTAGAAAAATCTGAAATTTTAGTATGATGAGCTCCTATTTATTTTCTTTTTACTCTGAAAGTTTCAAAATTTTCCCTCCACTAGTTCTTCAGAAAATAATTAAAATATAAGAGGATGCATTTTTTTAAAATTCAAACTATGAAAATTGATTTTTAGGAATTTCCATATTATGACTTTCCATTGAAAAAATCTGAAATTTTAATATAATGAGCTCCTAATTATCGTTTTTTTACCCTGAAAGTTTCAAAATTTTCCTTTCCCTAGTTTTTCAGAGAAATATTAAAATGTAAGAGGATGTATTTTTGAAAATTCAAACTATGAAAGTTGTTTTTCAGGAATTTCTCATGGTATGATTTTCCATTGAGAAAATCTAAAATTTTAGTATAATGAGCTCCCAATTATCTTCTTTTCACCCTGAAAGTTTCAAAATTTTCCCTTCCCCAGTTTTTCAGAAAAATATTAAAATGTAAAAGCATGTATTTTTAAAAATTCAAACTATAAAAGTTGTTTTTCAGGAATTTCTCATGGTATGATTTTCCATTGAGAAAATCTGAAATTTAAGTATGTCTTTTTTTTACCCTGAAAGTTTCAAAATTTTCCCTCCATTAGTTTTTCAGAAAATAATTAAAATATAAGAGGATGCATTTAAAAAAAAATAAAACTATGAAAGTTGTTTTTTCAGGAATTTCTCATGTTATGATTTTCCATAAGAAAAATCTGAAATTTTAATATAATGAGCTCCTAATTATCTTTTCTTTACCCTGAAAGTTTCAAAATTTTCCTTTCCCTAGTTTTTCAGAAAAATATTAAAATGTAAGAGCATGTATTTTTAAAAATTCAAACTATGAAAGTTGTTTTTCAGTAATTTCTCATGATATGATTTTCCATTGAGAAAATCTGAAACTTTAGTATAATGAGCTCCTAATGGTCTTTTTTTTACCTTGAAAGTTTCAAAATTTTCCCTTCAGTAGTTTTTTAGAAAATAATTAAAATATAAGAGGAAGCATTTTTTCAAAATTCAAACTATGAAAGTTGATTTTCAGGAATTTCCCTATTATGATTTTCCACTGAGAAAATCTAAAATTTTAGTATAATGAGTTCCTAATTATCTTCTTTTCAAATAAAAATTCCAAAATTTTCCCTTCCCTAGTTTTTCAGAAAAATATTAAAATGTAAGAGGATGTATTTTTGAAAATTCAAATTATGAAAGTTGTTTTTCAGTAATTTCTCATATTATGATTTTTCATTGAGAAAATCTGAAATTTTGGTATGATAAGCTCCTAATTATCTTCTTTTTATCCTGAAAGTTTCAAAATTTTCCCTTCTCTAGTTTTTTAAAAAAATATTAAAATGTAAGAGGATGTATTTTTGAAAAATCAAACTATGAAAATTGTTTTTCAGAAATTTTTCATAGTATGATTTTCCATTGAGAAAATCTGAAATTTTGGTATGATAAGCTCCTAATTATCTTCTTTTTACCCTGAAAGTTTCAAAATTTTCCCTCCCTTAGTTTTTCAGAAAGTATTAAAATGTACATAAGTGTATTTTTGGAAATTCAAACTATGAAAACTATTTTTCAGGAATTTCTCATGTTATGATTGTCCATTAGAAAAATCTGAAATTTTAGTATGATAAGCTGCTATTTATCTTCTTTTCATCCTAAAACTTTCAAAATTTTCCCCCAAAAATATTAAAATGTAAGAAGAGACATTTGTTCAAAATTCAAACTACCTATGAAAGTTTAAAATTATCACGAAAATTATTCACTTAGGCCCAGTTTATTCATCTTCAGATAAACTTGCCGGTAACTATCTGTGAGATAAATTTACTGTTCTATAATAATTCTTTTGGTCGGCGGCTAACTGGCCAATGGCCAACCAAACCAATGGGATTACAGATTGCATTTCTATCTGTCAGATTGCATACCTATTTGCATATCAGAAGGTGAATAAATCAGTCCTTAGTTAAATTTAAATTTGCAATTTTGAGGTAACATTAAGGAAGATTACAATGTTGCCAAGTTTTACACATTTTTTTAGTTTCAAATATACAGGGTTTTAATAATACTATGGGTCACCCTATATTAATGAGGGAAACGATGAGATACGAGGGCGGTTAAATTAGAAAAATGTTGCCATTGGAAATATATTTTCGTTGTTACTAAATTATTTTCCGAGATACAGGGTTATTTGTAAAAACACCTAAAACTTACCCTGTATCTCGGGAACTAATAGAAATTTGGCAACAAGGAAAATATATTTTTAATAACCTTCGAAAATGGCAACTTATTTCTAATTTAATCGCCCTCGTATCTATCACCGTTTCTGATATACATAAAAATGGTGGCGAATTATGGGTATTTTAGACATTCTGTATACAATAAATAGGATTCTAATTTGAAATTACTCTTGGCAACACCGCTTCAAAATCGATATATTTTTTGAAAGGACCGATATCTTAGTATCGATACGAATAAAATATATATGACATCATGTATCAAAAATATATGCGATTTCAGAAATCGATTCATTAAATTATATCTTTTCCATATTTTAAGGAGGAAATAATAAAAGATGTATATATAACACACTTTTCAGTCCTTTCAAAAGAAGTTTTGATAAGTGTATCGATTTATTTCGATAGGTATAAAACATTAATCGATATTATTGTTACCATCCCTAAATGATTAGGGTAAATTTTGAGGTTAGAGTTTTGTTGTTTTTTTGCTGTTTGCTCAGAAAATCTTCTTGAATGTATAATTGAACCATTTAAATAAAGCTTTAATTAAATTCCTTTTGCATTGATTTACTCATTCACTCCATCTTTCTTTCTAATAAATTCAAGAAAAAGACAGAAATTTGAGGCAAAATAATACCAAAACCAAATTCAAATAACAATTATTTATTAACTTACCTCTTCTTTAATGTCTCCTAATTCTAAATCGTCTTGTTGAGACATTTTTGATATAAAATTTCTTATTTAAATTGTGTAAATTGTAAATAGAAATAATTAAACTATTAACAAATTTGCCACAGTCGTGCCAACCAAAACAAAACAATTTTTTGACATTAATGAAAGACAGTTCATTTTGAAGGTAGCAAATGCCATTTTAACAGGGCCGGATTTACATTTGTGTAGAATTCTATTTTACTTATAGAAATCTTTTGATATCAGCAAAGAAATCGCAAACCAGTTTTTGATTGGCGCAAATATCCAAAAAACTGACTATTTTTAGCCAATTGAATTCGCTCTGAGTTTCTGATTTCATCAACTATCATTGTTGTGAAGTAGAACTACATGGTCTAAAATGACGTCATTAGATAGAATTCTATTTATTGTGATGGCCTACGGACGCGTTTTTAAAGTACGTTTTTTTCTTAAAGATAATTCCCCAAGTCAAAAATTTAGTAACTTTGTTGGCAACACAAGCCTTTTTTACATAAAAAATTTGAAAGCATTGACAATTTTACATTGTATTGCCAACATAATATCATTTTGACTTTTATCTTTTAAAAAAAAAACGCACTTTACAACTTTTTTTTATTCGTTCGATATTCTAATGGCGTTTCCGCATTTTTTTGCACCGATTCTACTCTAACTTTACATTAAGTGCAAGAAAGTTTCTAATTTTCATGTTCTAATGATTCTCAATTCAATAGAATTCTATTTATCGTGATTTGGAAAAATTCAGCAGCAAATTTAAGTTAGAACTGATTTTTAAAATATGTAAAAAATCCGCATCGATAATAATTCGACTTAAGGATTGTCAAGTTCCTGGAATCGATAATATGTGCAATTTTAATTGGAATCGATTTTAAAAGTTGACCGGACTTAAGCCTAGTACGCATTGTAGTGAGTGCAAATACTGCAGTTATTTCAGAAAGTGCAATAAGTTCAATATCAGAGTAATTGATGCAATTAAAGCTGGGTTCGGCTATTCAGCACGGAGTTGGAGTGGAGTGAACAGAGCTAATGGAGTCACCCCCAATTCGGTAAAAAGCAACACCCGAACCTTAACCCGAACGGCTGGAGTGCAAATGGAGTCACTCGGAGTGCACGAAGTGAGCAAGCCGAACCCACATAAACAGCATTCACTAAATTTAGTGCAGAAAGTACAATTAGTGCAAGTAGTTTTTGAAACAGAATAACTAGTGTAGAATCAGTGCAAGTCGATTCTGATAAAGATTTTTTTTTTTAAATCGATAGGTATACTTTTATTCCAACGTTCCAACGTATCAATACTGGGCCGAGTTCAGAAATAACGCACAGGGTGCGAGTGCGATTTTATTGGTGTGCCTGAATTGACAAATGGCCATTGGGCTCATAGCACCGTCTAGCATTTTTGAACAGCTAGGGCGTCGCACCGGTGTCACACTCACACTGGGTGTGTCATTCCTGAACTCGCCCCTGTTAAAAGTTTTTTTGGAAATACTATAGACTCACGATAAATAGAATATAGAATATCATTGTGTGTGAATAGAATTCTATTTATCGTGTTTCAGAATTCCTAAGCCTAGTACTGATAACTGCGAAATTCGCATTTTTTTGACATTGCGTTGACAATTTAACGTTTAGGGAGGATTTTCATGCATCCGTTTTTCCGTCGAAATATGTCCGTTTAACATTCTATTTTGACATATTTATATACGATTATGTCAGAATAGAATCTTAAACGGACATATTTCGACGGAAAAACGGATGCATGAAAATCCCTCCTAAAGCCTAGTACTCATAACTGCGAAATTCGCATTTTTTTGACATTGCGTTGACAATTTGACGTTTTATGCGTGTATCAAACGTCAAATTGTCGAAACAATGTCAAAAAAATGCGAATTTCGCAGTTATGAGTACTAGGCTTAATGCGTGTATCAAACGTCAAATTGTCGAAGCAATGTCAAAAAAATGCGAATTTCGCAGTTATGAGTAGGTACTAGCTTATTGCCTAGTACTCATCAAAGATGATACACAGTACTACTACAGGATGGCCTATCCTCATAACTCCTGGGTTGCGTTATGAAATAGCACTCTGGGTTTGAGAGTAACACGTGCTTACTCGGAGCGTTATGCTGGAATCGTTCAGAAATCGAGAGTTGACGTGCCCAGAGTGCGCCCAAATTACCCCACTCAGAGACTGGGTTGAAAAACGCCCCGAGGTTTTTAGTTTTTACCGGGTTTGACGTTGACATTTAGCGCAACACCCCAATTACGTTCAGAAAAGGCGCACCCAGAGTGCACTCCAAGTGATGACGTCAGAGCACTCTGACAAACAACTACTCTACCTTCACACTCTATTTCTAAACGCACTCCTTGTGTAACAAATCCCCCCCTAGCCAAACATCTAGTTGTAAGTTGTGACGTAAGTAGCATGGAACTTTCGACAGTATCGATATGTTAGAATAAAAGTATCGATTTAAAAAAAAATGTCTATCAAATAGGGATAACAAACTATCGATAGGAATATCGATACTATCGATATTTTTTAAATTTTCGATAGTATCGATAGACCTGTACCAATATCGATAGTTCCAAAGTAGCCAAAGTTAAATGAAGACATCTGTAAATTGAGGAGAATATAAAGAAATCTGTAGCTGTTTTGAGAAATCTGTAATTATTTTTTGGGTGTAGACCATGGGTAGACATGCAAAATAGGTTGTACCAGATTCAGTAAAAATGTACCAGCTTATAATGCGCATGCGTTTCCTGGAAAATGAGGAATATTTTTGATCCAATAGGAAAGCACGTTTTGTTTTATTTTGATGAAAAGTGGAAACCTAAACTTAACACAAACTACGAACTACGTCAACCAAGAACCACAAAACGAGGGTTACATTGGTGGCGCCATCTATTTACGAATCAGAAATTATTGTTACATCGAATTTAGATACAGAAATACAAATTAATTAGAACATCGACATTAGACTAAGTAGGCAGTAGGCTAAGACTGAAAATTTAGAAAGAATAAAGAAATTGAAAACTGTACCTGCCAATCGTCGTACCAGCGTACTTTTTCAAAGCGAATGGTACCAAATCTGGTACAATTATATCACCTCTGGCAACACTGGTTGGATTTTGAGTTTTTGAGTCCTATTTTCTTTAAACAAAAAAATATACATTTATTTTTTGATTAATAGGCTACTTGCATGGAAAATTAAATTGATTATTGTTTATTGCAAACTGTAGGAAATCGAAAAAAAATCGTTACTTTTTTTAAATTTCGCCCAAAAATGATTATTCCGGAAGTTATACAAATATTAAGTTTTTTATATATAGATATACTGAGCATGTGCGACGTCACAACTCACAACGTATTATACCTAAGTTATGACGTCGGAAAGACATTTCAAAGCGTTGTATCTCCGTCAATTTTTGACTAACAAGAAAAAGAAAAAACACGTGTTGACTTATTTTTCATGGACTATCGAAATCAGCAATAAAAAAATTTGATGCAAGGAGCCTATTGTACCAAAGCAAACTATCGATAGGACAATCGATGGTTACTATCGATAGATAAGCCATTATGTCGATATCACTATCGATAGTTTTTTTTTCGATAGTTTGTCAACCCTACTATCAAAATCCACTTGCACTGATTCTACACTAGTTATTCTGTTTCGAAATCTATTTGCACTAATTGTACTTTCTGTACTAATGGCGTTTTTCATTTATCAATCAGTGCGCACTGAGTGTATACGCATCTTTTTCTAAAAGCATGTAACATATAAGGATAAAGATACATTTTTTTTTGCACTGGTTCAACAAATGGAAATCACTATAAATTTATGGCCGTTTCCACCCTAAATTAGTTGCTGGAAACCAAGGAGAATAGACACTCTAAGGAGGTCTCGTTTTTGGTAATCGCCGCCATATTGGTTTTCAACTGTTTTCAACCATTGCTGACGTCATAACTAAGTCGTCAGCTGTTTAATGGCTATTTGCACAGCTATCACTTAAGGGATACTTAATCTAAGTGGAGCTTTGAATGTTACTTTTGTTTCTACAAGAGTCACATTCAAAGCTGCACCTGGATCAAATATCCTTTAAGTTATAGCGGTGCAATAGCCGTGAGCAGCTTACGTTAAGGCGAGAAACGCAAAAATTTAATCGCTGATAAACAAGGTCTTGTGAAATAATAACTTATTTAAACAAAATTCATTCAAAAAATGACGTTGTCTGATTGGTCTATTTTATAATGAATGAAATAATCATAATTAAAATCATGGTTTACCATTGAAAAAAATTGACTTAAGATGGCGCTTAAATGAGTACCTACTGAGTTCAAATCTTAAGAAACTCAAGATTGAAGTGTTATGATAATTAATTTCAAGTTCAAATCTAAATAAACTTGGAAAAAATTAAGTTATATTCTCCCTATCAACAACACGCCATTTTGTTATTGCTTTGTTGAATGTAAAAAAAAAAAAACGTCAAAATGGCCACCTGAACGTATTTGATTCATTGAAAGGTTTCAAATTGTGATTATTCCCGGCTCTTGTTTCCCCTGTTGTCCAACTGTTGTCAACATTGAAAAAAAATGACCTAAGATGGCGCTTAAATGAGTACTGAGTAAAAAATTAATCCTTCGGAACATCCGGGTCTTCCAACTCTGCTGTCACTATTTCACTTTCCAAAAACACGATATTTGTGTGTCCCATCGCTTTTACTCATTTTTAAACAGGGTTTTTTCAATATTTCCCAATGAAAAAACTTGTAACATGGACCGCAAAACAATAATCAGCTGATTGAAATTGAAATGACAGTGAAATTGTGCGATGTTGCCGACTTGTACAAATTAAAGCGCGTTAGGTTTAAAAAAAAAAAAAAATTACCGAATGACCATCGTCCATCAATAATATCTTTTTAATAATAAAGAAATTGAATCTTAGTTCTGTTCTAATGTAATAGAAATTATCATCCATGATTCTTTCCTGTTATAGCGTGATGGAGATCGACACTTGGCAACAATGTTTTGCGCATGCGTAACAGAATTATTCTAATTTGAAAAGGTCTATTTCAAGTTCAAATATCCAAGACTTTTGGAAAAATTAAGTAATTGCTTACGAATGGTATAGCAACTTCTATACGCCAATTTTGTTACTGTTTTGTCAATGTCAAAAAAAATTAAAAAAAACGTCAACGTCATGCAGGCGCCGTCTATGAGAACTTAGAAAAACTAGAATAAAAAAGTAAAAAAGTCTGTATTTAAGAGTTTTTCGTTCAGTTGTGCATTGACATAAAACAATAGAGCGATTTGACGTTCTCTCAATTCAATATGGCGCCGTGAGAATAACACACCTGATAACCGTAAAGGCCATGAACACTGTAAAGGCACCGTTCACATTCAAATTGCAATCATTTGGAATTGAATGTAAAAGCACCTTCACGGTCGTGAAGTTTGTTATGCCTACGTCGCCATCTTGAATTATCAGTTGATTCGAATTATCTAATTATGCAATTCAATCCATCTGTCAAAAAGGAAAATTCAATGTGGCGTGGCGGCCAAGCAAGCTTGTTTTGAATATGTTTTTATGCGTATTTTAAATTATTTTGCATAGAGTTTTGCTTACAACTTTGATTTTCATTATTTAATAAAATATTTGTTAACTAGGTACCTAAACTATTAATTCCGGCAGAAAATAGATATTTTTTTGTGTTTTTTCCCATGTGTGGCCGCCACGCCATCTTGAATGTCACGTGGTTTGAATTGCCTAATTGAAAAGCTACAAAATAACTGACAGAGCTGTTTAAATGGATGGACCGCTTTGTCAGAAAGTATATCTGTCTCTTTTCGATCAATATGAGTTGGAATAGGACCAACAAAGATAGAAGAAAAAATTACACAATAATCGGGCTTTCCGTTTTCCTGGCTTCTGATTAAAATTCAAGAGCCAAGAATAATCAAAATTTTGAATTTTTCACTGGATCAAATCCTTTCAGACGTCATTTTCAGACATTGTGACATTGACATAATAAAATTGAAAAGTCACAAAATGACTGACAGAGCTGTCTATTGTTCGTCGATTTTTAACTGATACTTGCGGTATGAAGAGCAAGGGGGTGTTTCATATGGGAAAAACAGGTGTGACGTCAGGTAACCATTGGCGTTTCAATGTAGGGAGCCACCAGCTCACATTCCGTCCGAGTATCAGATTAAAATCGACGAACAATAAATAATGGCTGTTTGAACCAATGACCTATTATCACAGATAGACAGAACATCCCATTGATAAAATAGCTTTGTTTTGGTTGACTACATGTTTATGGGCCAGGGGGGGTGAGCTGTGAGAGCGGCTAGGAGTAGGGATTCAAATGATTCCGCTAACTCCACCCCCATTTTACTATCGCATACTTGGCAACTCTGAAAATGAAACCAGAATCAGTGCTACAAAAGTTTATCTTTATCCTTATATTTTACATAATTTTAGAAAAAGATGCGGATACACTCATTGCGCACTGATTGACAAATGGAAATTGTCATAAAATACCTGCAGGTCGCATTTTGACATGACAATTGAATAGAAGCCGCTGATTGGTGTAAAGGTGGAATTCGAGGTGGGATTAATTTTTTTGCAGCGTTGTTAATTTTCATTGAAAAATAATCGCTTTCCACGTGTTAGAGAAAGATACAAAATAACACAAGGATTAATAAGTAGTGGGGAGAGATGCGGTTCCTGGCATGTAGTCAACCGATATTATTGTTTATTGTTCTGTCTATCTGTGTTAATAGGTCATTGGTTTGCACCCAAGGATGATACTACAAAATAGCCTATCCGTATAAGACCTGTGTGAAACAAAATCACCAGTTGTGATGACGTAGGCAACATGTTATTTCTGGCCTTGACATAGGCAAATTTTAAACAGCTGACGACTTAATTATGACGTCAAACATGGTAACACACCAATATAACGGCGATTACTAAAAACGAGGCCAATAAGCAATCCTGTAGGTATCATTCTTGGTTTGCACCAACCCTTTTAGGGGAGGTTTAACGATAACTTGATAAGTATACCTTAAAATTACAATCTTACATGTAAAAATGTCACTTGAGGGAATTCTTATCGTTAAAGCCTTCCTTAAAATGGTCGGTGCAAACCAAGGATGATACACACTACTATTACAGGATGGCCTATCCTTATACGGCCTGTGTATAACAAATCCTCTCCTTCCCCTCCACGCCAAATTACCAGCTGTGACAAAGGCAGCATGTTATTTCTCGCCTTGAAGTAGGCTGTTTAAACAGATGACGACTTAGTTATGACGTCGGGAATGGTAACACACCAATATGGCGGCGATTACTAAAAACGAGTCCGATAAGCGATCCTGTAGGTGTGTATCATCCTTGGGTGCAAACGGTCATAAATAAACAGAAAGTATATTTGTCTCTTTTCAATTATTATGAATTGAAAAATTACCGATAAAGATAATAAAATTTTTCCTGGCTCCTGATTACAAAAATTCAAGAGCCGAGAATATTCAAAATTTTGAATTTTTCAATGAATCAACTTCATTTCAGACGCCATTTTTAGACATTGTGACATTGACATAATACAACTGGAAAAGCAACAACATGATTGACGAAATTGCCTAACATGAACGGACAACTTTGCCAGAAAGTATATCTGTCTTTTTTTGATTATTATGAATTGGAAAAGGACCAACAAAGATAGAAAAAATTACACAATAATCGCTTTCGTTTTCTTGGCTCCTGATTTAAATTCAAGAGACGAGAATAATCAAAATTTGGAATTTTTCAACGAATCAAATCCTTTTAGACGCCATTTTCAGACATTGTGACCCTGACATAAGCAACAAAATGACTGACAGAGCTGTCTAAATGATTGAAAAACTTTGCCAGAAACTATACCTATCTGTCTTTTTTAAATTATTATAAATTGGAAAAGGACCAACAAAAACAAAAAAAAAAATTACACAATAATTGCTTCCGTTTTCCTGACTCCTGATTTAAATTCAAGAGGTGGGAATAATCAAAATTTTGAATTTTTCAACGAATCAAGTCCTTTCAGATGCCATATTTAAACATTGTGACATTGACACAAGCAACAAAATGACTGACAGAGCTGTCTAAATGAATGGACAATTTGGTAGTATATCTGTCTTTTTTCGATTATTATAAGGTCTGTTCCCACAGGATTCTCTGACAGTTTGCAACCTGTCAGAAACAATCGCTCAGCTGAAGTACAGATTAATCTTGGAACGACAGCATTAAAAACATGTATGGGCGATGCTTACTGACAGTTTGCAAACTGTCAAAGACTCCTGTGGGAACAGACCCCTATATGAATTGAAAAAGAAAGCTGGAGTGTCTGAAACATGAAACAAAAAGAGTTATTTTTTCCTTTCCCGGCTCTTGAGAAACCAAAAATTGAAGAAATTCAAGAACACCTTTCAAGATAAAATGTTCAGGAACCTGGATTATTACTATTCGACATATAAACCGAATTTTCGCGAAGAATGTAGTTCATCCAAGGACGAACCATAGTTCGTCTTGTGACGTCATAAGTTTGAACGCTGCGTCCGTGCTTCCGGCGAACTACGTTCAATATGACGTCACGAGTTTCTTGCTAAAGCATTTGTGTTCATAAAATCATGGAAGTAGCTTGTCGTGAAAATCCGATTATAATTGGATTCTTCAGCTAAAGGAAAGCACCTTAACTTTAAGTTACGAAACGACAGTTCTAAAAAATCTAGTAGGCCATTTTTGTAGTGAGTGTGACAGTCATTTTGTAACTTCAAAAATAAGTATGTGCTACAAAAAAAAATAAAAACTCGTTTTTTCTAGCTCTAGTTGTAGAGTATCAAGATAACATTTGTTTTTTGTCTGGTACTTTGTAGCTGATGTTGAATAAATAAAGAATAAAATTGACTACTTTTAGAGAAATTCTTGGGCCTAAATCCAAAAAAGTACAGTCAAATCCCTAACAAAAGATCCTCTTCGATCCCTTCCAATCCTACAAACATACACAAAGCACATCAGGTAGAAATTTTTCTGGTCAAATTCGAAAACAATAAATTTCGTACATTCCTAGAAATGTTGTTTTACTTCTCTAGAGTGATAACACGAGAGTACCCTAATCAGTACCATTAGCTTAACACACGCTCGATTAAATTGAAAATCCTACCGACACAGTCAGTCACAATCGAACCTCTATAGTAGTACCGTAGTACTTGGAAGCAAATTGATAACAATAAGTGCTTGACCCCTAGGGTTTTATATACAAATACAATCAATAAGTTTTAAAAAATGTTTCGTTTTAATTCGTTAGTGTCGTGTGCGCGTAATTTTTCGAAAATAAACCGCAACATTTTCGATGTGAGTGAAGAAGTGAGTCAAGCTTTGAGTGAGTCCAAAGCCGTAGTGGCTTTGGAATCCACCATAATAACTCACGGAATGCCTTTTCCTAAGAATATCGAGTGCGGGTTGGAAGTTGAAGGAATTGTCAGGGCACAGGTAAGAGAATTCAAGTTTTTTAAACATGATTTTATTGAAATATTGGCGAAGGATTGATTAAAATTTGCTTGACACATTGGCGAAGGTAGATTTATCATTGATTTTTTCTCGACTTTTGTCTATTCCAGGCTTCTTTGAACTGAAATATTGAAGAAATACAGAAAAAAGTCGTTCTGAGTAAAAAAAAGCGCTCTAGTGTTGTTTTTTTTTTTAAAAAAATCGCTGTCAAATGTCAAAAATGCCAAAATCAATTGAAAAATACATGGCCTACTGTATCAAAAATGATACACACCACTACTGCAACTGATAGCCTATCCTCATAAGGCCTGTGTGAAACAAATTCCCCTCTCATCAAAGCACTAGTTGTGACGTGGGCAGCATGTTATTTCTCGCCTGAAGCTTTATTCTTGAGTTGAAAATTTGACATTGTTAGCAGTTAATGCATTGTTTAATTGTCAAAACAGTCAAATTTTCTCTCAAGAGAAAACCAAGAATAAGGCCTCTAGACGTAAGCTGTTTAAACACCTGAGTTATGACGTCGGAAATGGTGACACACCAATATGGCGGCAATTACCAAAATCGAGACCGATAAGCAATCTTTAGTAAAAGTGTGTATCATCCTTGCTACTTTGTTAGAAGTTAAGTTTAATAGAAACAGTGGTTCGGTATTGTGTCCTCGCTCTTTCTTATGCCATTAGAAAAAGACAATAATACCAATGCTCTGTGTAAATGCTTCAAAACAATTCCACTGAAGTATGACAGCTACTTCCTATAGAATTTTGAAAAATTACCGCCAAAAAAACAACCCATAGGCGTCAAACTATCTGTCAAATGTCACAAATTCCACTGTCAATAAAAAATGCATGGCCTACTTTGTTAAAACTTAACGAGAATAATAGTGCAACATATTGTTTTCTGGCTCTTTCTTATGCGATTAGAAAAAGACAATCAATACTCACAATTCTAAAGTAGAAGGCTCCAAAACGATTCCACTACATGGTAACTGCTTCTCATAGAATTTTTGAAAAATTTACCGCCAAAAAACACCCTACAGGCATCAAACTATCTGTCAAATGTCACAAATTCCACTGTCAATTCAAAAAAGAAGACCTAAGGCGTTTTCTCGCGGGGCGAATGGTTCGAACTACGGTTTAAATCAATTTCACGATGACGTCATCACTTGTGACCGCGAGAAAATGAAAGGTTTGAACCACAGTTTTATGTCAACGGAGAACAAGCGATGAGGCGGTTCGAACTTTTTTGAACCAGGTTCAATGTGACGTCACTGGTTCAACGCAAGAATGTACAGGTTCGAACCTAATTGAACCGGGTCGAACCAGTTCCACCGCGAGAAAACAGCTCTACTTTGTTAAAACTTAACAAGAACAATAGTGCAATATATTTGTTTTCTCGTTCTTTCTTATGCGACTAGAAAACGACAACCAATATACTCACAATTCTTAAGTAGCACGCTCCAAAACGATTCGACTACATGGTAACTGCTTCTCATAGAATTTTTGAAAAATTCACCGACAAAAAAACACCCTACAGGCATCAAACTATCTGTCAAATGTCACAAACTCCACTGTCAATTAAAAATGCATGGCCTACTTTGTTAAAACTTGACAAGAATAATGGTGCAATATATTGTTCTCTCGCTCTTTCTTATGCGACTAGAAAAACACAATCAATACTCAAAATTCTAAAGTACTAGGAGGCTCCCAAATGATTCCACTACATGGCAACTGTTTCTCATAGAATTTTTGAAAAATCTACCGCCAAAAAAACAACCCACAGGCATCAAATTATCTGTCAAATATCACAAATTCCACTGTCAATTGAAAATGCATGGCCTACTTTGTTAAAACTTAACAAGAATAATAGTGCAATATATTGTTTTCTCACTCTTTCTTATGCGATTAAAAAAAGACAATCAATATTCATAATTCTAAAGTAGAAGGCTCCAAAACGATTCCACTACATGGCCACTGTTTCTCATAGAATTTTTGAAAAATCTACCGCCAAAAAAACAACCCATAGGCATCAAACTATCTGTCAAATGTCACAAATTCCACTGTCAAATGAAAATGCATGAAACTAATACCTGAAAACATTTTCAGGGTGCAGTACCAGCCACAATAGCCCTAATAAACGGTACCATCAAAGTAGGCCTATCGAAACAAGACGTCGAGTACCTAGGAGACACAAAATCGAGCAAACCAGTTAAAACTTCTCGAAGAGACTTTCCGTATATTTTAAGTCAGAAACTTAATGGCGGTACTACAGTTTCTGGTACCATAATTGTGTGTCAGCAAGTTGGGATTTCTATATTTGCTACTGGAGGTGAGAATTTGAAATTATGACGTCAGTTTTGTACTCTGATTTTTTGAAGGTATCGGAGGCGTTCATAGAAATGCCAGCGAAACTTTCGATATTTCGGCCGATTTGACCGAATTAGGCCGTTCCAATGTGGCAGTAATTTCAAGTGGAGTCAAATCCATTTTGGATATTGCAAAAACTTTGGAGTATCTGGTAAGAATTATGGATTTTCTAAGAAAAATCTAGAATTTAATGTGTTTTTACAGGAAACTCAAGGCGTTTTCGTAGCGACTTTCGGAGAAAATCGAGATTTTCCGGCCTTTTATTCGCGTTCCAGCGGATGTCAGGCTCCGTATCGCGTTGAAAACGCTTCAGAAGCTGCCAAAATTGTCAAATCGCATCAGGATTTGAAGCTTGAATCAGGTAATGTCCTTGATGGTTCAAAAAAAGCGCTACAAATGGCCTACTAGATTTTTTTAAACTGTCAAAGTTAAGGTGCTTTCATTTTGCTGCCCGAGATTGACTATTCTTGTTTCACTTAAATTGAAATCACCGTTTAAAAGCCGGGAGTAAGAAAATTATTAATTTTGTTTCAACTTTTGTCTATTCCAGGCTCTGAAGTTGTAAAATTCATAAATTGTCACTGTCATTGGTGGTTAAAAGAAAACGCTACAAATGTAGATTTGTTGAAACTGTCAAAGTTGAGGTGCTTTCGTTTTGCTGCCCGAGACCTATTTGAAAATGACCTGTTTAACTGTCCGAACTACCTTGACTGTTCTAGTTCTGATTCCTGTTTCATCAATCATCTGTACTAACTCTGTTGTGTTTGCACTGCTCTGATTGTTACTGTTCGAATTATCTAATATGCTTCAAAACAATAGGTAATTTTTGGCGAGGATAATCAAGCATACTCCAGTATGCTGGGTTATGTGATGTGTCAAAGTGTCAACTTTGTCATACTCCCCTAACTCCGCCACTATGAAATTCTGGGAAACTCCAAGATCAAGAACACTTAATTTCTTCTGTGAAAGCAGAAGGAAAATCACCTTTTCTACATTTAAAATAACCGAAAAAATTAAATCGCAAGCATTCCATTGAGGTCTGCGAGTGACGTCATCACCCAATTGATACATCGTATAACCCAACATACTCGAGTATGCTTGTATCCTCGCCAAAAGTTGCCTGGAATTTATTCATAACAGTAGGCTGATTTGAAAATCAATTTTGGGTTTTTAGTAATTCTACTCTGACTGTTCCAAGTGCACTGACTCTTTTTGATCTGTTCATCTGTCCGAACTATTTTGACTGTTCAAATTCTGTTCCATTTGCACTAACTCGATTTTAATTACTCTAAGTATTCCATCTGCATTATTTCTATTTGAATTCCTTCTATTTTTCAAATTACTCTAAGTGTTCGAATCGTTCAAAATTTGTTCTGCAAATAAAACTATCAGTTCAGTTTTAGGTAAATTCACAACTGATTCTGAGTTCTGAGATCAGTAAATTTCAGTTTCAGTTTTTTGTTCGCGGTTCGAATCGATTCGGTTCTGTATCGATTTCTAGGGACTAGACATAATTTATGAAATTCAGAGTTTGTTCCAAGATTTCGTTGCACCAAATATTCTGATTCCGTTCAAAATTGGATCAGAATATGATCCACAAAAGAAAACTATTATGTCTCTTCTCGAAACCGGGGAACAGCGTTGTCATGAAAACGATTGCTCTGTCTTTATCAGTGTTATGGAAATATGAATATAAGCGACGAAGACAGAACCTTCACATGAAAACGTTGCTTCCTTGTTCCGAGAATAAGGAATCAGGCAGACTTAAAACCGATTCTGCTCTGAACTAATCCTAATTCAACCCAGTTCTAGGAACTATAATATAGCAGTCCTAATTTCCTGAGTTCGTCCAAAGTTGTATTGGAATTTGATCCACAAATAAAATTTTTAGTTCCAGAATTGATTCGGCCGTTTCCAGATCACTAATTATTTCAGTTTTTTGGTCACTTTTTGACTCGAATCGGTTCCGGATCAGTTCTGAACTAATGGAAATCTTGAACTGGAGTAAAAAATTGGATTCGAATCGATTCGGAATTTAATCCGCGAACTAAACTGATATTTAGGCTGATTAGAAAATTATTTTTGGGTTTTTAGTAATTTTACTCTGACTGTTCCAAGTGCACTGACTCTTTGTGATTTGTTCAACTGTTTCAACTAGTTTGACTGTTTTAATTCTGTTCCATTTGAACTAACTCGATTTGAATTACTTTAAGTATTCCATCTGCACTAATTCTATTTGAATTCCATTTATTGTTCAAGTTACTCCAAGTATTCCAATTGCTATAACCTCTGTTCCATCTGCACTAACTCAGTTCTGTTTGCACTGCTCCGATTGTTCCTGTTCGAACTACTCTTATATGCTACTAAGCAATGAATTTATTCACTATAACAATAGGCTGATTTGGAAATAAATTTTGGGTATTTAGTGATTGTACTCTGACTGTTTCAAGTGCACTGACTCTTTTTGAACTGTTCAACTGACTGAACTACCATGACTGTTCTAGTTTTGAGTCCTGTTTGCACTGCTCTGATTGTTACTGTTCGAACTACTTTAATATGCTACTAAACAATAATTTTTTTCACTATAACAGTGACTGTTCCAAGTGCACTGACTCTTTCTGATCTGTTCAACTGTCCGAACTACTTTGATTGTTCTAACTCTGTTTCATTTGCACTTACTCGATTTAAATTACTCTCAGCATTCTATCTGCATTATTCCTATTTGAATTCCTTCTATTGTTCGAGCTACTCCAAGTGTTCCAATTGCTTTAATTTCTGTTCCATTTGCACTAACTCTGTTCTGTTTGCACTGTTATGATTGTTACTGTTCAAACTACTCTAATATGCTACTAAAGTGAATGAATTTATTTACTATAACAATAGACTGATTTGAAAATTAATTTTGGATTTTTAGTAATTCTACTCTGGCTGTTCCAAGTGCACTGACTCTTTTTGATCTGTTCAACTGTCCGAATTACTTGGACTGTTTTAATTCCGTTCCATTTGCACTAACTCGATTTAAATTACTCTAAGCATTCCATCTGCATTAATTTTATTTGAATTCATTCTATTGTTTGAGTTAGGGCGGGTATTATAAAACTGCTATGACAGTTAAATTGAAGTTAACTTTTTGAATTACATTTAATTCCAGAAGTTAACTTTAAGTTAACTCTCAAAGTAGTTTTATAATACCCACCCTTACTCTAAGTGTTTCAAGTGCTTTAATTTTTGTTCCATTTGCACTAACTTTGTTCTACTTGCACTGCTCCGAATGTTACTGTTCGAACTACTCTAATATGCTACAAAAAAATAAAATTATTCACTATATTAGTAGGCTGATTTGAAAATTAATTTTATATCCTACTGAACTATTAAAACCATATAATACCTTGGTTACGATAATCATAAACAGGGTCTTAACTCCCAAGGGAGTTAAGGATTTTCATAACTCCCAAGGGAGTTAAGGAAGGGAGTTAAGGATATCATAACTCCCAAGGGAGTTAAGGATTTCCATAACTCCCGCTTTTACCTTGAATAGGTAACACTTTGACAAAAAATAGAAATTTTGATTTATGGCTTATTCCTTTATAAAAATAGACAGAATACAGTAAATTCAGTAGGATATAAAATTATCTATGTACCACGGGAATTATCAGGAGTTAATACCCACGGGCAATTGGTGTCCCTCGGGCCGGAGGCCCTCGGGACACAAACGTTGCCCTGGGGTATTAACACCTGCATAATTCCCTTGATACATAAATAACTATTGGGTTTTTAGTAATTCTACTCTAATAGTTCTAAGTGCACTGACTCTTTTTGATCTGTTCAACTGTCGGAACTATTTTGACTGTTTTAATTCTGATCCATTTGATCGGATCCAAGTTGATTTAAATTACTCTAAGCATTTTGTCTGCAATAATTCTATTTGAATTCCTTCCATTGTTCGAATTACTCTAAGTGTTCCAATTGCTTTAATTTCTGTTTCATTTGCACTAGGTTTGTTCTGTTTGCACTGCTCTGATTGTTACTGTTCAAACTACTCTAATATGCTACTAAACAATGAAATTATTTACTATAACAGTAGCCTGATCCGAAAATAAATTTTGGGTTTTTAGTAATTCTACTCTGACTGTTCCAAGTGCACCGACTTCTTTTGATCTGTTCAACTTTTCGAACCTTGACTGTTCTAATTTTGTTTTGTCTGTATTAGCTCGATTTAAATTAATTTAAGTATTTTATCTGCATTAATTCTATTTGAATTCCTTCCATTGTTCGAGTTACTCTAAGCGTTCTAATTGCTCCAATTTCTTTTGCATCTGCACTAATTTTTTTCTGTTTGCACTGCTCTGATTGTTACTGTTCGAACTACTCTAATATGCTATTAAACAGTATATTTATTTACTATTACAGTAGGCTGATTTGAAAATAAATTTTGGGTTTTTAGTAATTCTACTCTGACTGTTTCAAGTGTACTGACTCTTTTTGATCTGTTCAATTGTCTAAACTACTTTGACTGTTCTAGTTCTAATGCCTGTTTTATCTGCACTAAATCTGTTCTGTTTACACTGCTCCGATTTTTACTGTTCGAACTACTCTAATATGCCACTATACAATGGATTTATTCACCATAATTTCAAAAATTCATAAGTTGTCTCTGTAATTGATGGTTCAAAGAAAGCGCCTACTAGATTTGTTACAACTGTCATAGTTGAGGTGTTTTCGTTTTGCTGCCCCAGACTTATTTGAAAAGTGTGGAGTGAATTTACTCCGAATGACTCTATTTCTATTGCACTTAAAATCACCGCATAAGAGAAGACGCAACTTAACGAAAACGCTACATTTGACATGACTACTTAAAATGTCAAATTTGAGGTGCTTTCTTTTAGTAATTGAAAAATTGAAAAAAAATCGGAAAAGAAGTCGCTCCTCAATAAAAGAAAGCGCTACTTATGACAAGTTAAAACTGTCAAAAAATTGATGTACAGGGTGGTCCAATTTGGATACTTTTAATAGGAAATGTCATTTTCTGAGTCATACAGAGAAATCTTGATTGGTGTAAGCCAATAATGACATTTTGATATCTTCAACCATTTTGATACTGTGTTGGACCACCCTGTACATTAAATTTTTGACATTTTAATTAATCATGCCTGTCATAAGTAGCGCTTTCTTTCATTCAGAAGCGACTTTATTCCGAATTTCATCAATTTTTCAGCTCAAGAGCCTGGAATAGACAAAAGTCGAAACAAAACTAATAATTTCTATATTCCCGGCTCTTGCACTGAAAAACCAAAGAAATTTTTTTAGAGATTACACCCTGTATGTACTGTCTCTCATAAGCGATTTTCATTTTGATTGCACTAGTGCACTTTTCTTGACAGTTGACGTTTAGACCATTGCATATTGGTCAACTGTCACTGTCAAATGTGATCAAATCGAAAACGCCATCAATTTACTTCCTATGTTTGTCGCACTTGAATTAAAGAGAGCGTCACACATGGCCTACTTGAAAATTCCAATACACAAACTGTCAAAATTTAGGGGTTTTCTTTTAGCTGTTCAAACAACAGTTAGTAACACATGGCCTACTCAAACGTCAAAATTGAGGCATTTTCTATACGATATTTATTGATTTTCAGGGCTTCTTTTTGCTGTCCCAGTGCCGGAACGCTACGCCCTCGACCCGGAATCAATCGACAAAATAATCTCGCAAGCTCTAGCGAAAGCCGATAAAACAGGAATCCGGGGCAAGGAAGTCACTCCGTTTCTTTTGTCCGAAATCGCTACGATGTCGGCCGGCAACTCTTTGGAAACCAGTATCCTTTATTTTTTCTAGGATTTAAATTATCCAGATCAAAGTTAATAGGATTTCTGATAACTTGATGACGTCATCTAAGGTGCCTCATGGAGATTTGCTATATGTTGAGGCACTTCGGATGACGTCATAAAAGTTATCAGGCAACCTACTTTTCTCAAACCACCTTGATCCAGATGTCAAATGTCAAAAATGCTAAAGTCAATTAAGAATGCATGGCCTACTATGTTTTCAAGCTCCACCCACTTTACTCTGTTTAAAGGAACAAGGGGCGGAGCCTTAAAAGCATAGACGTGCGGTATTGTTTTTTCGCTATTTCATTCAGACATATCAAGTTTTCTTAACTAAACATCCACAGATATCGCATTGATAAAAAACAATGCAAAAGTAGCTGCAGAAATCGCAGTTTGCTTATCCAAAACTGATAAAGCGGAGGACGATGGTTCATTAAAAACTTCTCCAGACAAAAAACCTGTAAGTAATTTTTGTTTTGCCGCATATTAAAGCCCTCAGGCTCCCCTGTACCGTAATTAACCATTAAAATTGTCTAGTCGTCTGGATTGTCTTCGCTCGCTCGCGCGCCAACGCAAAATTAATCCCGGAAAATTTTAATTAAATTTCTGCCGCGATAAACGATCGAAGAATTCTGTTCTCGTGTCGAAATCCAATTATTTGGCGGGTCTTTTTAGATAGAAAGACGAACTGCTCACAGACAACAAAAAAAAAGAAGAAAAGTACACTTCGCTTCAAGGCTGTAACAGTAATTTAAGAGAATTAATGGGCCCAATTAAACGGCAACATCGATTTTGGTTTTGTTTGTCTTGAGGTGCTTTTAATGATTAATGAGTCATTTATGTATAGTCTGTCGATTTTAATCTGATACTTCAAAGGAATGTGAGCTATGGTGGCTCCCTACGTCAATGGTTACGTGACGTCACACCTGTTTTTGCCATATATATATCTTGAAAGTGTCAAATTGAAAACGACAGAAAATATTTTATTTGTCTTTTCAGTTAACATCAGCATTTTCTGTCTTTATTGTTTACACACTAATACATAATTCTATAGACTAATTATTGTATTTGTATCTCTTTCCATCGGCATGTGAAAAATAAGGATAAAGATAATAAAAATCATCATTATGTTGGTAGTAGAGTAGACACTTTTTGCTTCTAATGTCACTTTTACATCAAACAATTTGTGGAAACCTTAGATGTGACAGATGACATGCCATTGTCAAATAATTGACAGTTGTGCCATTTTCAGGTCATTATTGGCGGCTCGAATTTGGACTGCGTCGCTCATTTGGACGCGGACGAAATTAAGGTAAGTGGAAATTGGGCTTTATTGTAATTGGGAATTTTACCTCATCCTACTAGGTGTTTTTATTAATGAATGTTACACCTGTCATTGCTGTCAAAATTGCAAAATTGACAGAGCCTAAAATAGGAGTTTTGTTCTATAATATAAAAAAGGGAGTGAAAAACGACATAAGAAACATAAGTAAGGAGACAGATATAAAGTAGAATAGTAAATTTATACGAATTTTGTTTATTCTCGGGGATTGAGTATTGGCCTTGTTATTTTTGCGTCTGACCCAACGTTTTTTGAAAGAGGGAGGCTGTCTCTTTATGACGTCATCTGAGGTGCCTCAACATCAAGGTTCCTGAAGTTGATAGGTTGTCTGGTAACAAGGTTAACCTTGCTCAAACAGCCTTGGTTTGATAATGGGTGACTTAATGACGTCACCTAGGGTGCCTTATGAAGCTTTGCATTCAATGGTACCTATTACCAGAAATTAGGCTTAATTGAAATTTGGAATTTTACCTCATCCTACTAGGTGTTTGTATTATTAAATGTTACACCTGTCATTGCTGTCAAATTCGCAAAATTGACAGAGCCTAAAATAAGAGTTTTCGTCTATAATGATAAAAAAAGGAGTGAAAAACGATATAGGAAACATTAGTAAGAAGAAGACAGATATAAAGTAGAATAGTAAATTTATACGAATTTTGTTTATTCTCGGGGATTGAGTATTGGCCTTGTTATGTTTGCGTCTGACCCAACGTTTTTTGAAAGAGGAAGGTTGTACCTTTATGACGTCATTTGAGGTGCCTCAACATCAAGGTTCCTTAAGTTGATAGGCTGTCTGATAGCAAGGTTAACCTCTCTCAATCAACCTTGGTCTGGTAATGGGTAACTTGATGACGTCACCTTGAGTGCCTTATGAAGCTTTGCATTCAATAGTACCTATTACCAGAAATTGGGCTTAATTGAAATTCGGAATTTTACCTCATCCTACTAGGTGTTTTTATTATTAAATGTTACACCTGTCATTGCTGTCAAAATCGCAAAATTGACAGAGCCTAAAATAGGAGTTTTGTTCTATAATGATAAAAAAAGGAGTGAAAAACGACATAAGAAACATGAGTAAGAAGGAGACAGATATAAAGTAGAATACTTAGTACATTTATACGAATTTTGTTTATTCTCGGAGATTGGCCTTGTTATTTTTGCGTCTGACCCAACATTCTTTGAAAGAGGTAAGTTGTACCTTTATGATGTCATTTCAGGTGCCTCAACATCAAGGTTCTTAAAGTTGATATAACTTTGAAAGAACCTTAATCTGGTAATGGGTAACTTGATGACGTCACCTGGAGTGCCTTATGAAGCTTTGCATTCAATGGTACCTATTACCAGAAATTGGGCTTTATTGAAATTCGGAATTTTACCTCATCCTACTAGGTGTTTTTATTATTAAATGTTACACCTGTTATTGCTGTCAAAATCGCAAATTGACAGAGCCTAAAATAGAAGTTTTGTCGTATAATGATGAAAAAAGAGTGAAAAATGACATAGGAATCACAATAAGTAAAAAAGAGATGGATATAAAGTAGGAAATTGAAATTTGTACGAATTTTGATTATTCTCGGCGATTGAGTATTGAGTAGCCTTGTTATTTTTGGGTCTAACCTAACGTTGTTTGGAAGAAGTAGGTTGTACCTTGATGACGTCATCTGAGGTGCCTCAGGTTCCTATAGATTTTTTCCGTTATATTTAGGATGACGTCAGAGAACAAGGACTGACAATGTTGTCAATGCCTATTTGTTTTCTTATAATCTACCAGAATGTCATAATGAATTATCAAGACCACTGACAGCTAAAAATAACGAAATAAATCTTTATTTGAAAATGATCATTTAAATCATGCAACATCGCGCGCCGTTGCCAACCAGAAACATCTGAAATTCCCCTATTTTAAATGCGTCAAGAAGTACTTTTAGTTTTGTAAGATTTGCAGCAGAAATTTACTAAATGTGACTTCATCCTAAATATAGCGTGAAAATCCTATAAAGTTGATAGGTGACAAGGTTAACCTTTTTCAAACAACCTTGGTCAGGCAATGGGTAACTTGATGACGTCACCTGGGGTGCCGTATGGGGCTTTGTATTCAATGGTACTTATTACCAGACAACCTAATAACTTTAAGAACCTTGGCTCTAACGAATCGAAAGCCTGGAATAATAAGTAAGAGAAGGATGATGATATAAGAGATTCAATCAAAAAGAGAGAGATATAGACATTAATATGCAAACGTATTGAGGACATTGAGGTTTAATTCTCATTATTCCTGGCGCTTAAGTGATTTCATAATTTTTGCGCCCATCCAATTAAGAGCCTGGAATAACAAGAGACAGCGATATAGAAAATGGAATGAGTGAGAAAGAGACAGAGACAAAAATAAATGTAACATTAATTTTTGGGTGACTCAATCATAGATTTGAAACAACAGAGTGAGAAACGACATAGTAAACACAATAAGTGAGAAAGAGACGGCCATAAAGTAGGAAATGGAAATTTGTAACACGAATTTTGATTATTTTCGGTGCTTGAGTGGCCCTATAATTTAGTGTCCGGCCAATCAAAAGCCTAGAATAATAAGAGAAAGATAATGATATAAGAAATTCAATGAAAAAGAGAGAGAGATAGAGACTTAATAAATTGAAAATTTATTGAGGCAGATTTTCATTATTCCTGGCGCTTGAGTGCTTGTAACCAATTGAGAGCCTGGAATAATAAATTAACAGACAGCGATATAGAAATTTGAATGAATAAAAGAGAGACAGAAATAAAGTGGGGTAAAACTAAACGTGACACTAATTTTTGGGTATTCCTGGTGCTCCAGTGACTCAATCATGGGTTTGAAATAAGCGAGTGAGAGACGATATAGGAAACACAATAAGTAAGAAAGAGACGAATATAAAGTAGGAAATACAAATTTGTACGAATTTTGATTATTCTTTGCTTCTGACTAATCAAGAACCTGGAATAATAAGTAAGAGACTGAGACAGCGATATAGAAAATGGAATAAGTGAGAAAAAGATGGAGATAAAGTGGGATAAAAATAAACGTGACACTAATTTTTGGGTATTCCCGGCGCTCCAGTGTCTCAATCATGGGCTTGAAATAAGAGAGTTAACGACGACATAAGAAAAACAATAAGTAAAAAAGAGACGGATATAAAATAACAAACAAAATTTGTGTAGGAATTTAAATTTGAATATTTGAATTTCGCGCTTATTTATGGTCGTTTTGAAATTTGACAAATGATGACGTAGATGTTGGGTTAGTTAGCGAAAGAGAAGTGTAATATCCTTGTTCCGAATTTAAGGTTATGTCTCTATGTCTTATGTTGAATAACGAACGACACGTTAGAAAATAGTATATTTTTCAGGTATTCTACTTTTCCGCACTCCGTGCGTTTATTTTTATCTCTGTCTTCTTCTCACACATTTTAGTTTTTATATCACTGTGTCGTATTATTCCTGGCGCTTGAGTGATTTTATAATTTCCGTGCCCGATCAATCAAGAGCCTGAAATAATACGACACAGTGACACAGTAATATAGAAAATAAAATGCGTGAGAAAAAGACAGAGATAAAAATTACGTGACATTAATTTTTGAGTATTCCTGGCGCTCCAGTGACTCATTCATGGGCTTGAAATAAGTGAATGAGAGACGACATAGGAAACACAATAAGTAAGAAAGAGACGGATATAAAGTAGGAAATTGAAATTTGTACGAATTTTGATTATTTTCCTTGTAATTTTTGTGTGTGACCATTCAAGAGAATAATAGAGTTTTTTGAAATCTTGTCAACAATATTTGATCTCAGATCAAATCACCTTCATGTCATAATAATGGCCGAGCTCAGAATATAGCTTCCATATGAAAAAGTTGACAGTTGTCACATGTTTAATTTACCTATATTAAAATCAATTTGAAGTCACGTGTCATATTGCATTGTCATATAAGATGTCTGTCAAATTGGATTTAAAATGACGTCACTTCATTTATTGTGTTTTGCTTATCATTTGATACCCATATCATGGCGGCTGCTATGGAAATTATGAATCGCCATTTTGTAACATTCGCCATATTAGATTTAAAATGGCGTCACTCTATACTTATTGTGTTCCGCTTATCAAGTTCTTTTATTTGATGCCCATATCATGGGGGTTGCTGTGGAAATGATAATTCGCCATTTTGTAACGTCCACCATATTGGATTAAGAATGACGTCACTCTACTTATTGTGTTCCGCTTATCAAGCCCTTTCCTTTGATATCCATGTATCATGAAGGTTGCTATGGAAATTACATCCCATTCACAATCCGTAGTGCAAAGGTAAAGGTAAATTTATCAAATAGTTCTGAAAGATGAAACAGTTTACCTTTACCTTTGGACATCGGATTGTGAATAGATAATATAAGTCGCCATTTTGTAACATCCGCCATATTGGATTTGGAATGACGTCACTGTACTTATTGCGTTCCGCTTATCAAGCCTTTTCATTTGATACCCAATTCTGTGCCCCTATCATGGGGGTTGCTGTGAAAATGATAATTCGCCATTTTGTAACATCCGCCATACTGAATTTAGAATGACGTCATTCTACTTATTATTGTATTCCGCTTATCAAGCTCCTTCATTCGATACCCCCATTATGGAATTTTCTTAATAGTAAATTCCATTGGAAAGGTTAGTGCGCACTGAGTGTATTCGTGTCTTTTTCTACCAGCTTGTATAAGAAAGAGATAAAAATAAATTTTTTCTGCACTGCACAATAAATGGAAGTATTTTATATACAACCTACTCAGATTCATTTTTGCAAAATCGCACCTGAAAATTTCAGTATTTCAACTGTCAAATTGTTAACGCAATTCTATGTCTATTCCGTTGTAATCGCTTGAGAAAGACAAAGACATAAATATGTATGTAGTTACTTAAGTGTGAGGTGGAATAAGCAGTGGCGGCCCATGAC